AGAGTATCACCAAACTCACTTTTTTCCAGAATACAGTGGTTGAGTTGCATTAACTGATAACCAAATCCTTTATATTGGGCGGTCGGCAAATACATAGGGACCGTGATATTGTTGCGATATTAGTCTTTCCCATCATTGGAAACCTGGCTTAAAAACCATCAGAAAATATATTTTTATAGTTATTCTAATGCACGATGCCAATAATACATCTTCATTCGTTTCAAAAAGTCGATGTCGCCGCTGGTGAAACTGTGTATGCAGCTGGGGAGGGTGACTCATCCAATATTGTTGACGGTGACGTGTCAACATGCCATGCTAGTGGCAACAGAAAGGACCCTTACATGAAAATCGACCTTGGAAGAAGCCACGAGCTCCGTAGAATCGAACTGACCCTCAACAAAGACCGTATCCGTAAGTAATCGAGCTTGAACAGCCCATTTATTGCATTTCTGCTTCATAGCAATATTTAGTCATGAAGATGTTAAATTTATTATTATATTCTTACCTGGTTGTCGATGTTATTTTTGTTGTAGGCGCTTTTCACAACTCTGTTGTTCGAGTCGGTAGCGAGCATGCCATCAAAGACAATCCAGTTTGCTTCCGCATTGACCAAGATAATGCACCTGTGAACATTGCCAAGGCGGTCGTTTGTACTGGTAGATACTTGATTGTTCAGAAGCTTGGAAAAGGACGTGCAATGAATGTTTGTGAAATAAAAGCGTTTATTAGAAGTGAGTACAAAAATATGTATCCAAATCACGATTTAGTGATATTTGGTAATGTTATCCTAGCTTTTAACTGAAGCTGAATTATGCAGAATGTGACTGTTTTATAACGAATATGTATTATCTTCCTGCAGAACAAGCACACATTGAACCAACTGTTGAACCAACCGAGCCAGAGGTTACTGCAGCACCAATCACAGTAGCACCAACAGTGCCAGTTGCGCCAACTGACGGTATATCAGTAATCAATAATCGATGATATCGCATATCAGTGATCTCTAATAAACATACCTATCACAGAAGTTTTTGTTTTGAAGAGCAAATGAAAAAATTACCTCATCATCATTCGTATTGAGCCTGCTGCAACAAAACACAAAAGGACTATGAAAATACGAGACACACATCACGTATCATGACGACATGCTACTGCAAAATATTTATATATTAAGATTTTATTATCATATAATTGCGAACACCTATGACGTAATTGTATCAAAATCATAATTACATGTTGAATTTATTCTGACATCAGTAGGGCACACTAATTTATATATGTATTTCAACAATGTTGGTGTATTGATTATATTGATGCTTTCCTTGAGACCTGACTGATTGGTATCAAAGGCTTTTTGAAACAATCATTTATTATATAGACTTGTCATTTACTCGTTATTTATATTATACCTGGAAGAGCCTATTTTATTTAAATGTTTTTTTTTTGTTTCACAGCCAATGATGTAACCACCATTCCACCAACCATGGGTAAGTATAGTACACTGTTTATATTAGAAATTTTATTTTAGCAATAAAATCCATTAACAAACACATGTATAATTAATGTTAAGACTCCAGTTTGTAATCACTTGACACATACGTGTACGTTATCATGTGTGAACACATGTTCAATACATCAACGCATAACGCAAGAACCTGGCTTGACTCTTCAGGTTATCATTTCGACAATTGTTCAAAGTATTTTAGTTTTTATTGCGTTACTACATATAAGTGAAGATATTGATTGTTGTTTAATTGTCATTTTTCTAACAGCTTGTACCAATCCCGAGGGCCTACGTAACATCGCTGTAGGCAAAGCTGCTTCCCAGAGTTCAACCAATCCTAAAGTCGACGGCATCGCATCGCTTGCTGTAGATGGAATCAAAGATACCGACTTGAGATCTGGAAAGTCGTGCACGCAGACAAACAAAGAATTCCAGCCATGGTGGAGTTTGGATCTTGGATCGTCACAGGATGTTTACCAAGTCATCATTACAAACAGACAGGATTGTTGCTGTAAGTTTAAATTCTACTACTATACAATATTTTGCATGAATTACAATTTAATACTTAGCAAAATTAATATATATCTATTAAATGATTTCAAAAAGGTGCATTTCATCAATAAGCATTATAAATCAACTCAAAACTGAATGTCATTATGCATCTTTTTCGCAGCTTTCCGTCTCAAAAATGCAGTGGTACGTGTTGGAGACAGTCCCAACCCAGCTGACAACCCAGTGTGTGGATTGCAGGTACTTGGAAAGAGATCCAGACAAGAACAAGTCATCATGAACTGCGGCTGCGGTGATTCTATGACTGGTAGATACGTCAGTATTCAGTTGATGGACAAGACCCAAATCATGCATCTATGCGAGGTCGAGGTTATGACGCTTTAAACACACGGTGGCATATCAGGTGGCTTGTCACGTGTCGTTTTTTGCATGTTATAGATGATTTTTGTTTTAACAACTGTGAAAGATTCTTACATTATTTTTCACACTTCTATGGTTCAAAATAGGCCATTCGAAATAATACAACAGAACTATTTGAAGATATAGTAGACAAACATAAAGTCAGGTAATCTTTGTCCTTGATAGCTATTTAATATAACTAGACGTTTCGAGTAATGTACCTTTTACTTATCAATGAATAATCTGAATTCAGATTATAAATTGGTAAAAGGGTAGATTCATTGGTGTTATTATGAATTACGTCACGAAACCGTCATGCAAAGTGACGTCATTGTAATACTTACGTATATGTCATTGCTATGAACACTAACAGTTGCGAAAACTTTTTAGGTCGATCTAGAAATACAATCTTTTTCACTATAGTGTGAAAATATTTGTTTGAAGTTTATAGCTATTTCATAGAAGTTAACAGTATCGCTACAATTGATTTCAGATAATTGTGTCACAGTTACTAGAAACATCTTTAATGAAAAAACTCAAACCTTCTTTTGAAACATGTTCGCATTACGACATAGAAATAAGTATCGTGTAATAGTGATCAAATATACAAGTACAGTGCACGTGAGTTTAGATTATTTCAGCTGTCATGAAACATAATTTACGTTGACATCACTGTTATCAGTATTTATGGATAAAATAGTACAAGTGGTTGCAGTAAAATATATTGATTGTTGTGTTTTAATATTTACCTTTTTTCAAACAAGTTTAACGCACACTTAACTTGGAAAAGTATATGCTTAGTCAGCATATTTGGTCCAGTGTATCAACATATATTCAGCTCATTCGTCTACTGTAACTTGTATAAGATGATTACATGATAATATTGTATTCCACATTG